GAAAGTTAAAATTGTATATATTCTAGACCCATTTTTAATCATTTTTATTATTGATAATTATGGACTACAAAAAAACGTGCATCTCAAAATATTAGAATATTTCATTTTGAATTTGACTACATTACTACTCAAACATTATACTGTTTGAAACCGTGTATCCAGAAGACAATCATCGACACCGTCCACAAGGGCCAATGTAGGACAGAAGATCATGGCTGAAAAGGCTGGCTGTTGACATTTCTGTATTGAATAATTGTTAAGTTGACTGGAATGGAAACGTGCGGTAGGAAAATGTGCACAATGAGCACCTCCTCATATACTCTCACTGAAAATACTTACTATCGCCTAACAGTCATTTAAATAACCATCAGATGATTGTAAACTGTGGCCATAAAGGGATGCACATGGTCAGCAGCAACACTCAGATCTGTGGCATTCAAACCATTCAAACCGCCATTTACGCTGTTGATGTGAGCCTAAAAAATTTACTTAATCCCAAAGGCTAAAGTAAGTAAAGACATTTTAGTTGTGAATTTGTTTGTTTGTTTGTTTATTTATTTTTTGTCTGGTTGAAATTCATCAGATTTATGGGTACAGAAATGTCCACCATTCCCCACTTTTAACTGTTCCTTTCTGCCATTTCTCACCCCAACCTACACTGATTGTGTCTCCAGTGCTATGCACCTTCTCCACCACTAGAGTGCAGGGTGTGTACACTTTCTGCAGGTACTGAATGGCAGTAAGACAGCCACCCAGTGGTGGTATCAGGAAATGGCACATTGGCAGACCACAACACAGCCTTATATACTGACTTATGCACTATGTAGTGGTAAAATACAAGCACTGAGTCAACTGGTACATATCTTGTAATTATGAGATTTCAGTTTCAATGTTTTGCTGGTCATGAGTGGGAAGACATCAGGATGGGAAGTGCTGAGGGTTCAAAAGACATGGACACAAAGAGTATGAGAGAGAGAAATCCTCAGGGATGGGAAACTATCATCCACTGTTTTTAGAAATAGCAAATCTCAATATTAACTGTAAATACTTTCATAAATGCTATGGTAAAAGAGCTGAAAAAAGCGATTGATAAGATATATTCATATATTTAGTGATAATAATTTGACTCCGTGTTTTAACTAATATAGTAACTGCTTACACTTGGGGGGAAAAAAATCACTAAGAGGCATGTTTGCAAAACATCTGCGTATATTTTCTCATTTGTAGGAGATATTAATGTATTCTATTTTCACAAGAGGGCTGCAAGGTGGAGCAGTGGTTAGCACCGTCGCCTCACAGTCAGAAAGTCGCCAGTTCGCATCCCAGTGAGGACACCCAGGATCTTTCTGTGTGGAGTTTGCGTGTTCTCTCCAGGTTCTCGGCTTCCTCCAACACAGTCCAAAAACATGTTGAGGTTAATTGGTGATTGTAAATTGTCCGTAGGTGTGAATGTGAGTGTGCTTGGTTGTCTGTCTCTAAGTGTAGCCCTGTGATAGACTGGTGACCTGTCCAGGGTTTCCCCTGAGTCAGCTGGGATAGGCTCCAGCCCCCCCGCGACCCTAGTGAGGATTAAGCAGTGTATAGGTGATGGATGGATAGCTCACCATTAAAACTAACTTCCCTCGTTAGCCTGAAACATTGTTATAAGAAGAAATGACCATGTTGTCACAGTTTGTGTCTCAGCCCTGTATTGTCCTCACCTTTTCTCATGTCACACTCCATCTACCCACCGAGTGTTGTCAGACTGTCCTCCTGTCTTGCAGTCACCTGACTCACCTTCCCCACCTGTTTCCAACTCTCCAATCAGCTCCAGTGTATTTTTACCACCCATCTTGCCCAAGTTGGCTGTCATTGGTGTTACTTCTGCTTTTTCCATCAAGTGTCTGTTTGCTCCTGTCTGCCTTGTTTATGTCTGCACTTGGGCTCTCCTTTCTGATGTCATTGAGAGAAATGTGGCACACGTGGTGTTAAAACAAAAACAAGGCCCGTAATTATATGAGGAGTCGATGTAACTACAACAGTTGGAGGGTTTGATCAATATATGCTGTAATGATGTAGACACGTACCAGGATGCTTTCCATATTTGTGCCAGTAACAAACTCAGTAGTTCCACCTGAAGTGGCCTCTCCTACAGCTTTGGTCAAAATGCTGACCAGCTTCTAATCAGCCTAACTGCATGAACATAGTTCTGAAATGAACTGTGAACACTGGAACCTTCTCAGTTCTGGACCTATTAGCTGTGCCTGTATCTGCATCATGGCTCCACATGGAAAAGATTTGCCAGAGGATTACAAAGATGGAATAAAAGTCTGGAATCAGGGATAAACTAAAATTTGTGGAAAGGCAGTTGCAGCAGTACTCAGGAGATATACAGCAAGATTCGATTGTTATTATCACAGTTCTTAAAAGAGAACAGTTAGATCTTCATAGCATACAGCTCAGCTGATGGCTGCTTACCATATTAACATCTGAGTATTGCTCCTTGACAAGTCTCCTCAGGTTTCTTGTATTTTTACTTTATATATGACCAAATCCTAGCTTACATTACCTCAGGGCAGTGTGAAGTTAAGCTATGTAAGGTCAAGACCTCACAGTGTTACGGAGAGAAATCCAACAAATGCCCCTTAAGCTCAGCAACCACACTGTTCACTTTTTCTTTAAGTGACATTAAAATAGAAGTTGGTTCAAATGTAAACCGCCCCCTTTTTTTTGTCAAGCCCTACTACTGCCATCATGATCTTTTTCTGTTATCATACATTATCCAAACTCCTACAGTGTTAGTATTAAAGTGCATATGTAGGTCCCAGAGGTAGTGTGTTCTTGTGCTGCCTGTTTGGAGAAAATGATTAAGTTGTGCAGGAAGAGAAATGTGCACTGAAGCCGTTCAAGGAGGAACAGTTCATGTAAATTCTACATATAGGTTTTAGTTTTAAGCTCCATTTTCATCATCCATCCATTATCTATACACCGCTTAATCCTCACTAGGGTCGCGGGGGGGCTGGAGCCTATCCCAGCTGACTTAGGGTGAAGGCAGGGGACACCCTGGACAGGTCGCCAGTCTATCACAGGGCCACACTTAGAGACAGACAACCAAGCACACTCACATTCACACCTACGGACAATTTAGAATCACCAATTAACCTCAACATGTTTTTGGACTGTGTGGGAAGAAGCTGGAGAACCCGGAGAGAACCCATGCTGCACGGGGAGAACATGCAAACTCCACGCAGAAAGATCCCGGTGCCCCCACCGGGACACGAACCGGCAACCTTCTTGCTGCGAGGCAACAGTGCTACCAACTGCGCCACCCTGCAGCCCCCCATTTTCTTCATGTTATGTTTTGGGTTTTTTGGGGTTTTTTTTCTGTACGGAGATTTAGTTACAGTTGTTGTTTACTGCAGTTACTTTATTCTTGTATTTATCACCTTCTGCAAAATAAGCTGTTATCAGAAACCTTTGGCTGAGCATGTGCCTACCAAGACAGAAGGAGAAAGAAAGGAGCACACACATCTTCAGATAGAACTGTGACTATCTCAGTTGGGCCTCCATGAAGTGAGCAAAGAGTTTCAGAAAAAACAACGCCATGTCAAACTGAGAAGAAAAGAAGAATAGGCGGAACAACACTCAGCCTGAATGTGGCCAGAGTGTCTGAGAAACTCAAAAGGTTTTTTTTTTTCCAAACACAACACCCCGGTGCACTTCAGACACAGCAACAGACAAAAACTGGTTCACCTGATACAATGCAAACACAAACTAAACAATCGCACACACACGGTCCAATGCAGTGTTCATATATCATATATATATATAGGGGAGACTCACTCCTTTGAGGACAGCAGTGTTCACATTGTGGACAGAGGAGACAGATGGTTTGAGAGTGAAGTGAAGGAAGCCATCCATGTCAAATAAATTTGCAAACAGAAGATCGGGTTTATAACAAAACTGACTGGGTACTTACACTGCAGTCTTGAGATCCCTCAGTTTCACCACCGTTCACACCTAGAGTCATTTCTCATCTTATTGAGTGGGTCATTAGCCATGAGATTGTGGAGATTGCAACACAATATGTACCTTGGACTCCCTGTCAGAGGTCTTCAGGAACCAAAGGAGAAGTCCAGCTGCCTTCTACCGCAGCCCTTAGGAATACCACAAATTTACTCAGGCCCATTCCTGGATATCATTCACACAGAAAAAAGACTGAAAAGTGTTGCCAGTAAGTAGGCAAAACATGCTGATGTGGACAACAGTGAGAGAGCTGTGATGGGGTTTTGTGTATTTGCAGCCCTGTTTCAAAAAGGCTGCATAGGTGCGGCCAGATGCACGTGTTCACATGTTTTCTTAAGTAACAGTGATCCATGGGCGGTTCTGCTTTCATTTAAATCATTGATTCCTTTATTTAGATGTTTGATAAAGATTTCATTTTAAAACATTAATACATGATTTTAAACCTTTCAGTCATTTTATCTAGTATTTATATATAAAAAATTGTGCAGCTTTAGCTTTTATTGTCCTGCAGCTCATGCCATCAAAATAATTTAAAGAGATCTATCACATTCACAGATTATGAAGTATTATGAAAAAGCTATAACACTAATAGCAGCTATTAGTCTATAGCTTCAATAGGTGCTGCTGTCCGTTTGGGAGACGAGTTCATTTCAGTTATTATTTTCACTTAACTAACAAATATACCTTTGCTAAGTGTCCATGAAGGTTAACCAAAGTGTTGGCTGTGTTGTTCAATTTCACTTTCACTAAAATGCGGCGTAAAGTTGAAATAGCTCATCTACAGTTGCCTAAACAAACATGTCGTTGCCACCTCAGCTGACCTCGCCGGTCTGCTAACATGAGTCATGTGACCAGCCCTGGGCCTTGTATGTTTTCCAGTTCTTCCATTCTGCTGTGACCTGATAACAAAGAGAAAACACACAGTTACACCCATACAGGAAGTGGGTGTGTTTATTTGAATGTATGAGTCTGAAAGCTCAAATTGCTCGGACTTCCTCGGTGCAGCCAATCTGCTGTGTGGAGCTGAAGCTGGAACGATGTCTGCCTGTTGTCTGCTGGTCGTGGCTGCTGTCATAGGAGCTGCCTACATTTTCCGTCATATTGTAGTGAAGGGAAAGAGATGCACGAGCAATGCAAAGCTGCATGGGAAAACTGTGATTGTGACTGGTACGTAAACATACAGTAGTGATGGTGTTTCATTACGTCTGTTTTGGGGCGGTTGCAACATCAGAATCTATGTAGACTAAAAACAGTGCTGTTCACCTGCAGGCAGCAACACGGGCATTGGGAAGACCACAGCCATAGATCTGGCTAAAAGAGGAGCCAGGGTGATTCTGGCCTGTCGCAGTAGGCAGAGAGGAGAGGCTGCTCTTGAGGAAGTCAAGAGGGTGAGTATAGAACCAATCTATTGTTTTATCACTGATTAAAAAGAATGTTTTCTGTCTTGAATGACTTTCTGATGTCATGCAGCTGCTTCTGATTACTCAAAATGCTATGTAGATGTTCTTGTTTAGAAAGAAGTACTGTATATATGTCTTCTATATCAGACTCCATCCAGACAGAGACCGATGATTGCTTCATCTGTAGCACTTCTGTATTTATTGATCATTTCTGTGCACATCGTCTCCCACAGGAAAGCAAAAGCAATCAAGTTGTGTTCATGCCGCTGGATCTGGGAAGTCTCAAGTCTGTTCGCAGCTTTGCTGAAAACTTTCTGAAGTCTGAGCCCAGATTGGACATCCTCATCAACAATGCAGGTTTGTAATGTCAATAACATTAGAAACTCTTGTTTAGAGGATTGTGTTCTTTATGTCTGTCTTGACTGGTATTTTTTTAGTTTAATTTTAGTAGAATTTCAGAGTTAAATACAAAATTCTCCTGGACAAGTCAATGTCCAAATGCTACACCCAGTGTCGACACTTTTTGGTATTCTTTAAATGCTTTGACAGAGAGTAATTCATGCAATAGTGGTTTGAAAAAAGTAACATACATTTACTGGATTACATGATATACTGTGGGAAGCAGACAGTTACCACAGTTAGTGGCCCTTCTTACTGCAGCTTTGTCAGTTAATAGCTGTGGTGTTGATTGTTTGGGAGCTTCAGGATTGCACAGATATACAGACGATTAGCTCGTTTTCAGGAATCAAGATTAAGATGACTTATCTTGTGACACTAGCTTGTCTGTGAGATTTAATGTCTTGCATGTTTTGATGTTGACATGTCTACAAACAAGATGAAGCTCTCTCCATGTTTTGTTCCAGGTGTTTACATGCACGGTCGAACAGAGGACGGACTGGGATTGATGTTTGGCGTCAACCACATTGGTCACTTCCTGCTAACCAACCTGCTGCTGCAGCGACTAAAGGAATGTGGACCGAGCAGGGTGGTTAACGTGTCTTCACTGGGACATAATTTCGGAAAAGTTGATTTTGACTGCTTGAACACCCACAAAGCTCTGGGGCTGGGGACGTCATTTAGGGAAGTCTTCCAAACCTACTGTGATAGCAAGCTGTGCAATGTCCTCTTCACCCATGAGCTGGCCAAGAGACTCCGGGGAACCAAGGTCACCTGCTACTCCCTCCATCCAGGTCAGTAGTCTATCTCTACTCTACTCATGTGCACATATACAGATATTGCCAGTATGAGAACTTATTGACCTGTTTGGTTAGAGTTTACATGAACTTGCAGTTGTTATGCCAGGTTCTGCTTTTGTTTCCACTGCCACTTTAGAGACAGGGCCCTTGAGCTAAATTTCAGCCCCATTTAGCAAGTGAAGTCCTGTCGTCTGTGATTGGTCAAGTAACTGCTGCTTATGATTCGTCAAACAGATAACAGAAACAGTAATCACATCTCATCATGCAGTAAACACCATTAAAGGCTGTGTTTACACTGACAGACTTTTTAAACTTTGTTCTCTCGTTGCCTTTGAAATGAGGTTCATTGGTCCTTCTCAGTTTGTAAAATACAAAGGTAGAACCGAACAACTCTGCCCTACAAGTTAAGGCACAAGTTATGGAAAACTACAGGTTGCAGGCAATTTAAAATTTTTTTTAAAACATAATCTGTGAAAGATCAGGCAATTAAATCTACTTTATTTTATGCATTTGCAGGAGCTATCAACACTGAGCTGGCCAGGAACACTAGCTCCCTGTTGCAACTGTGCCTGAAACCCCTCACTTCCTATTTCTTCAAGAACACTGTCCAGGGAAGCCAGACCACCTTGCACTGTGCCCTCCAGGAGGGGCTTGAACCTCTCAATGGGCGTTACTTCTCCAACTGCACTGTCAGAGAAGTCTATGACAAAGCCAAAGATGATGCTGCAGCCAAAAAGCTGTGGGAGCTCAGTGAGAGACTGTGTGGCCTTGCATGAAAAAGCTTTCCATGACATTTTTGACATTGAGTTCTTATTGTTTCCATAAGATATTAATTACATGCAATTATTGTTGAGGGCTTTACCTGATCTATCAAATGAAAAAAAAAATAGCTGGCACTTCAACATGAGACAACTGACATAAGGACAAGATCTGACAAAGCCTTCCCTGCCCCACCACTCCTCTCCTAATACAACAGACCAGAAGAATCTGTCTGACTACTACCAAAGTCATCATGACTCAGCAGTTTTGTTTGGTTCTTTTAATATTCTTTTTGGACTTTGCCTTTATTTATCAGAGCAGTGAACAGAGACAGGAAAGGTGGGAGAAGAGTGGAGAAAGACCTGCAGCAAATGGCCGTTGTCAGGAGTCGATCCCACGACCGCTACGTCTGGGACTGTAGCCCCTGTTTGTGGGTCGCCGACTTATCCGGTTAAGCTCCTGGAGCGCCCCGACTCAGCAGTTTTGACAGGACTGTTCAGATCTTTATATTTAACATTATTTTGTGTACTGTTAGCATTAGATTTGTACTCACAGAAAAGACTACATTTGATTATGTAACAGTATGTTTAGATGTAATAAAACCCAAGACACTAAGCTCTTTATTTATGCACTGTATCTTCAATTATTAATGCAACATATAAATGATCAATCAGTTTACTATCGGTGCATGGGATTTTTTAAAGGCCTTGAAAAGCAGCATTCATGGTACATAACCAGTCAGGTTACTAGAAAGGTTTCTGGTTTTACTGGTTTAGTGGATTTAGATGGATAGGCGGGGTCACATCAATATGACTTTAACAATGTTACAAAAGCAATGTTATGACAGAGGGTTTAGTGGATCAGCTTACACAACACCAACATGTAGGATTGTTGCCTACATTGACTGTTTCAGAAGAACAAAACATAGCTTAATTTGGTCATCTGATTATTCCTTGTTTTATTACTTGTATACTTTGCATGCCTGCTTATTTGCCTCTGTATGGCCTTTGCTTAGTGCACAGCAAACTAGAGAACCCCAATGTGCTTTATCACTAAAATGCTAAATTATTCAAACTTGTATCATCTTATAATAACTCTATTATTTTAAGTTAGGTAGAGTATTTGATCTCATGCATGACTAAAAACTGATTAAACAAGTTGCATTGAAAATGCAAACTTTCGATCAATCTTTCAGTCTCCAAACTTCAATCTCAATGTGTCAAAAGTCAGTTAACCTGTTACCACTGAAAAAACAAGTGATGTCACATCTAGTTTCCAATCAAGGCTTGATGCTTAAACAGAGTGATAGCAGGACCTGTAAACACCACAGTTTTCTCAGTTTTGTCATGAGTTGACCTGGTGAGAAACTGCCAGAACAAATAAGGAACCAGAGAGTGAGACTTGATAGAGATGAGAAAGATGCAAGATAGCGTCATAGCAACATAGGCTGAAGTACTGCTGTGATTAGGACTTGTATAAGGAGCTATTGTGAGAGCTTAAAAAATGGTGACATAACTTTCTGCAGCACAGACCTGCAGAGCCAGATCATTGAGTGTCCACATCACATGTCAGAACAGGCCCCTGGTATGTGTTTACTGGGTGAGTGAAAATCCTGTGGTTTTGAACACAGGACTATTCCCTAATATTTATGCTGTTTATAGTGTCATGGCATGCTTTCTATTTTGCTCTCTGTAAGCAGGAAGTGCTGCTTTCCAAGTTAACTGTGTTGGAATTTGCAGAACTTAAATGCAAAATCAATTAACACAGTTCCTGGTATTTGGTAATGTTAGTGCAGCAGTAGAGTGCAGGATTTTCTCGGTTTCAACCAGGAAGAGAATATGTGAATGATGTGATGCACATATGGATGCATCAGAGAACATACATAGTCCTTTGACAACGATTAGCTAATGGCCTAATTCCATGGTAGCACATGATTATGATGTGGTGTCAACTGGGTATTTTCCTGGAGGTAAATAGGCAGCAGTGTAAAATGTCATGAAATAAAGAAGGGGATTGTACTGACCATAATGTAGCCGTAACAGTTCTACTAACAGAAAATAGTATTTCGTAAGTTCTAAATAGCCTTTGTAAAACAAGCCCGATAGAAAACACTGCAGCAGCTGATAAAATTTTTTTTAAAAAGTGAACTTTTTTTTCCCCTTTTCCATCGTTGCTGACTGTTTGCTCATCCAGAGAATCCAAAGGCAGCTTTGGATTGTTGGGTTCTCTGTTCTTTCTTTAAAATGTGTAAGGTCTTCATCTTGCTATGTGAAGTGCTATGAGGTGACATATGTTGTGAATTGGTGCAAAGTAGAATGAAATTGAATTTAAAAAATTGAATGAATTAAAACTAAGGTAAATGTTTGTCATCTTTAAATTAAGCAAAAAGCTTCTGCTCAACAAAAAAAAAACATTCTTTATAGTATAGAACTCAAGCAGAACCAAATGCAGCATTCAGATGACCATGAACTCATCCAGGACTGAACAGAGCAATCCAGTTCAGTTTATTTTGATTGATATAACACCAAATCAAAATGCATGTTGTCTCAGGCCACTTCACATGGTAAGGTTGAAGCTTTAGAGAGAAACCGAACAAATCCACTGGTTGGGATGAGAACAGGGTACAGGGTAAAACTAGGCAGGGATGGATTCCGATTAATATCGCACCCGTTTTGTTTTCAATGTTGCTCCACACTTCACCTGATTAGATAAAAAGACCAGTCAAGCTTGATGGATGAGTCACAATGACTTAGCAGCTTTCACCAGTGTGGCTTGGTTGTGGTACCATTTTATCTAATATGCTGTGTTTGCACTATAGCCACAGCCACATTGCACTAATTGTAATCAAATATCCAAATAAAATTACATCATCTCCTTCATGTTTTTAATAATTCAAGCTGTTTTTTTTTAGAATTTACTGTGCTGTTCTTGTATTCTTGTATCTTTTTACAAAGTCCACAGTCTTGACAATCAGATTTTTAAAAAAATTTTTGGTCATTCGTTTTTATTTTTTAATCCACTTACTGTTTAGGATTCTGTGTGTTTTAATACTCCTGACATTCTGCCTACTTGGAGGACTATAAAGTTTTATTTTGTCTTATCTTGTTTGCACTTGTAATTTGCAGTGTGTAACTTCCTTTTGGCTCGCAAGCAGACGAGTGTTGGCAAGAGAAGTCAAAAGTCTATGAAATTGTATACAAAGTCTTTCAAGCGTCTAAGTGAATTCCAGGAGAACTATTTCTGATGTATCTGTAAAATAGCCAAATGTACTCCATCTACAGGGTCGCCGCCCGTTCATGCAGGCCTCCACTACAGTGGCGAGTCATTCAAATTTTAACTTGAATCCACATTATTTTTGCAATGATTGCTCCAGACTAGCAGGGAACCCGTCGTCCTTTAGACTCATGGAAAGAAAGTGTTAAAAATACACATGTTTAGGTGGTGTACTACACATTGTGTTATTTGTACATTGCTGACAAAGACAAACGTCAGTAATACGGTGGGAAAAGTATTTTCAGATTTATGGAGTGATAAAAAGAGACACTTTGCTCTTATATATTAAAAAAATGTAAAAAAAATAATTATTTTGAAGATGGCTTTATGCAATGTTCAGATTTCTCTTCTGGAAACGAATGCAATTTAGTGCACAATTAATTAGATGTTTGAATATTTTAACATAACACTTCAAAAAAAATGTGTTACAAAAATAATGTTGGGTATTCATCTGGAGAAATATTTATAATTGTATGTATTACCTGAAATTTGAACCCTTTTCACCTCTGCTATTTTGCATGTTATGTGGTTGTTCACTCGAAATAATAAATAGTCTGACTGAAACTGAAAATAATAATTACAAATAATAAGAAATAATCAATGCATTAAAGAGCTAAAGTTATTATTTAGTTCAAACCTTGGATCTTAAGAAGAAGAATAAAACGAAGGGGGGAGAAGAGCATAGACATGTATAATAAAGGCCTTTATTATACACATCTATGGAGAAGAGACTGTTTACGTTGAAAAGCAACATGGCGACATCTGCTGTTTCATCAGAGCTACAGCAAGAAGGTCAACCGGAAGCTGTTGGAGTTGCTTCAAGGCAAATTGTTTACGATAATAATTAATTACAATAAGCTTTTTGCTTTGGCTCTTGTATTCAAATAATGTCGGTACAGTCACGCCAAAGAAACAATAAAAACGTATTTGTTTTGCTAATAAATAATTTTATTGTGCAAGTCTGGACCGGACTGATGCGGAAGTTGCAGCGTACTTGACGCCCCTGGTTCAGCAGCCCGGTGCACTGACTGAACACAGCCTGGGACCCGTGCAGATATGTCGGTGCTGCTGTGCCTCGTAGCAGGAGCTGTCTCCTTTTATGTCATAGTGTACTACGGTGTGTTTAGAGGAGCGAAGTGCTTAGGTTCTGTAAAGTTAACGGGGAAGACTGTCGTTGTTACAGGTAACTAGCGGCTAGCTTCGGCTATGAGCTCATGCTAACATGTCATGTAAGACTCAACATCCCAGAGGTTTGTTGTCATGTGCACAGAAAACTACACATATACACTGCACAATGAAACTCTTACTTTGTTGATCCTCCTTAATTAAATGTGCACAATGTAGAAAAACTCAAGTAGTTCTAAATTAACAGGCCTACTTAAACTGACAACGACAGTGGTGGTGAAGTGCACTGAGCGTTTAGAAACTTTAGTTGTATAAAGTGACTACTGCAGGTAAAGTGATCACAGTGTTGATTATAAAGTGCTTTGAGGCAAACACTAACACATTTTGTGTGTGGCTAGAGTTTGGTAAGAGTCCAGTTCAGTGTGAGGAGGGAGGCTGCACCAGAGATGAGCTGCTGGGCTTCCTGTCCGGAGCTGTGCAGTGTTCATAGCACACATTGATGGAGCTGCTCTGGACACTCGACTCCTGTAGAAGTTACACAGGACGTTGGCTGGCAACTTTCTCAGCCTTCTCAGAGAGTACAGCTGCTGCTTGGCCTTCATTATGGTGTGGTTGTGTGTTGTGAATCCAGGTGACATCCTCGTGGATGTGGACACAGAGGAACTTGAAGGTTTTCACTGTCTTCACCTCAATCTGCATATGTATGGTGGTGTGTGCTGCTCTGCCCTCTTCCTTGGATCAACAATCATTGGTCTTCTCAGCGTTAAAGGAAAGCATGTTGTCCTGACACCAGGCACCAGATCTGGCACCCCCCTCCTGTATGCTGTCTCATCACAGTGGGCCAAAATTTAAAACCTGAACAAAGTCGCGGGCCAACATTGAACAAATGAACATTTTAATATGGACCGAAACAAATTTTGCTTTAACATTTAATATGGAACAAGCAATGCTTATTACCATACATTATATATAAGTTAATAGTGGAGACATGCAAAATCAAATTATAAATAAAAAAACACATCAATGGCACAGTGACAGTTGTAGTGTGAAGTCGCTATGCGTACTGTCACAGAGGAGAGGGAGTTTCTGGGTCCTGTCCTGATTGACGTGCCAAAACAACAACAGGGCATTATGGGATTTGTAGTATTAGCAGTGAATGTGCTGTACAGTATAATGCCCGGGGCAGCTCTAGTAGTCATTTGGTATTGTCTCGCGGGCCAAATATAATTACAAAGCGGGCCAAATTTGGCCCGCGGGCCAGAGTCTGCCCTACAGTGATCATTCCCATCACTGTTGTGTCATCAGAGAATTTGATGGTGTTGCTCTGGGAGGCCACACAGTCATATGTGAAAAGTGTACAGCAGGGGGCTTAGCACACAGCTCAGGGGGGTCCCTGTGCTCACACTTGTGCTGGATGAGCAGTTGCTGACTCTGACCGACTGGAGTCTGACTGTAAGAAAGTTCTGCACCCAGTGGCAGAGAGCGGGTGTCAGTCCATGTCACAGTGTCTGTGTGGAATGACGGTGTTGAACACTGAGCTGTAGTCAGTGAACAGCATTCTGACTTGTGTGTGCTTGCCTTCTAAATGTGTTGGTGCCTTGTGGATGGCAGTGCAGACTGCGTCGTCAGTGGTCTGGTGCAGAGGGTCTATAGTGTCTGGAATGGTCTTCTGGATGTGGGCCTTGATAATCTTTTCGAAACATTTCGTCATAATTGGAGTAAGGGCAAGGGGCCTACAGTCGTTCAGGCAGGTCACAGTACTTCTCTTCGTAGGGATGGCTGTTCCAAACCTACCGCTTCACAGATACTGTTGGTGGGACTTCAGAGCCAGTCTTTGTGCCGCACATCCCAGCAGACACTGGGGTCCTAGAGCAGACTATTGAGTTTTGTTTAAGTAAAGTGGCTAGAAATTCAGAATTTCATTTTAAAGCACCTCAACTACAATCTCCAGAATTGTCAAAGAATCTTCTAACCATATGAATGATAAATACTCCTTATAGTAAATGATACAATACATTTTACATCTGCTTGTCAATGATAAAGATGACTGCTTGTGTTGGACCAAAAAGTGTTCATCTGCCAAAAAGGGATCGGTCCCAGGGAGCAAATTATGTCCCTGCATTATTGTATCTGCTCTGTGTTCTTAATTATAACCAAAGAGGTTTAAATAGCTTTAAAAAAAAAAAAAAAAAAAAAAAACCCAGTTCAACTCAGCGAATGCAGGTACGGATCGTGTATTGGTAAATAGGGTTACCACTTCAAATGGCCCACAAGAAGAAATACAGTAAATCAGTATATACCCAGTATATAACTGGAAAACGTTAATCCAAAGGCAGGACATATAGCTATAGTTTATTTATAAATTCAGTATTGAAAATTTTGTATAATTTACAGCAACTTATGTTACGATGTGTTACTTTTTTATTTTTTTAATATTTTTTTATTTATTTTTTTTTACTTTTTTACTTTTTTATTGAATTTCCCTTCTGGGATGAATAAAGTATTTTTCATTTCATTTTCATTTTTGATTTGTGTGCACCCAATAAACCTCCCTAAGTTTTTTGATAAAATGCAGAACAATGTGTATTTAAAAACTGACTTTAAGGTAAATAAATTGTACTATTTATATATCAAAATGACAACAAGGGCAATGATTTATCAATAATGTAGCTTTAATCAGTGGTTTTACAGGGCATGCTTCGGTTGGGGATTTGACCGACAGACGTCAGTGAGTTCAATGTGGCATTTAATTTTTTATTTATTTTTTTTTGTTGAATTTCATGTGTGTCAATTGTTTGCCTGCACAGGAAGTAACACTGGCATCGGCAAAGCCACGGCTCTGGATCTGGCAAAGAGAGGAGCCAGGGTGATCCTGGCCTGCCGCAACAAGGAGAGAGCTGAGGCTGCTGCTTTTGACATCCGCAGAGTAAGGAGTAGGAGACTGTTGCAAAGCAGACACACACTGTTTTGCCACAAACCATTAGGCACAGAGAATTCAGGTTGCACTAACACTGGCCTGTCAGGACATCCAGTCTGTACTTTTCTTAACAGGAAAAGGAAAAGAGGCATTAGAGTTGAATCATAAAGAAAATCACAGAGTGACTGTAATAAAACCAGCAAACACTTCCCATCAGCCAACACTGTTCTGTATTCACGCCAGAAGCATCACCAGTCTGGCCCCAGCGTGACCCACTCTGCATCATAAACTCCTGCAGTACTTGTTTTTGCCAGCATGATGTGAAATAGATCTTAGCTTGCATTCATGGAAGTTTTAAAAAGCCTTGAACTTTACTTGTTGAAGCCTGCAGAAACCCTTCTGAATAAAATGAGCATTTTCCCCTATCAGTCCAGAATCCCAAAATGAGAGCTTGTTTTTAGAAATTTGTGCAAGTTTATTAATAATCAGAAAGTGGAATCTCTCATTCACGAAAGCGTTTGCTGTGGAACTTCCAAATTTGATTACATGTACCCATTTTTGAGATGTGTCCTTAAATGCATGTCACCTATAGCAAATCAATTGGCTTGGACATAGTTTGGAAAGACATACATATGTGTGTATATAAAGTTTCCACTCTTCTCACTGCATGTCAGGACAAAACCAGAATCCAAAAGTCCAAGGGCTTTTTATAGACTGCCATGATACAACAGTGGTGAGGCACTGATCAGGACAACGGTTTAAAAAAACATTTGTAAAACTTTGAGTGTTCTGAGGAACACATTGTTCTCAATAACTGTGAAATGGAAGACACGTAGAACCACCAGAACTCTTTGTAGGGATGGCTGTCCAAAACCTGCCAGAGCAGCAGCTCTCCATCAGCTTGTTTGGTGTGCATTAAGTCATGTGTCCACTTCTTAAACTTTTAAGACCTCTTAGTTCCACAGTAGCCCCTCAGGGATGTATACACATGTGAGAAAACAATGAAACAGATATAAACACTCCCCGTGCTGCAACTGATATCAAACACTTGTAAAATGGCATTGAACACAATAAAAAAAAAGATGTAGCAAAGACATGTTAAAAATAACTATTGGCTTGGATTAGGGAAATGTTTTTGTGCTATTCAAATTTATTTTTGGATGTAGTATCAGTATTGTTCTGTCCTACCTAATGTTTGTACTGCAGCCAGACTTACCCAGCAGTAATGTCCTACAGGAGACTGGGAACAGCCAGGTGGTGTTCATGCAGCTGGACTTGGCCAGCCTGAAATCTGTTCGCAGTTTTGCTAAAACATTCCTGAAGACTGAACCCAGACTGGACATCCTCATCAACAATGCAGGTGAAATGTTAACACAGAGTGGAATACCCCTCTCCATAATGTATGTTTCTTATTTTTTTTCTGTTGCAATTTTAAAAACAAAATGTAAAAAAAAACAGAGACAAAAAAGTTTGGTTTGACTTAGTCAACCACAGTGTTCCACAAAGGTGCTGACAAACCCTGTGTTTCAGGCATGATGGGTCCAGGGCGTACCGAGGAAGGCTTCGGCATGGCCTTTGGGGTAAATCACTTGGGTCACTTTCTGCTCACCAACCTTCTCCTGGAGCGGCTGCAGCAGTGTGGTCCCAGTCGAGTGGTCACAGTGACTGGACTCCTGTACCGCTTAGGGAACATCGACTTTCCTCTGCTGGCGTCCAAAAAGGATTTAGTGCCGGGTCAGTCTACCTGGCACAACTTTCAGGCCTACTGTCACAGTAAACTGTGTAACGTGCTCTTCACCAGGGAGCTGGCCAACAGGCTGCAGGGCACCAATGTCACCTGCTACACCCTCCACCCAGGTCAGTGCCGGCTACACAGTCCAGAATTTTGGGTGATACAATGTGCAAGCAAACTTTTTTCTTTGACAGTTGAAAATGTTCATTCTTTTGCTGTCTTGAATCATCAGCAGTAGTATGGCCCCAGTATGGCTGTCTACATCATGTCAAAACAGTTTGTTAGGCTACCTTTATACAAACTTTGCATGTGTTTGAATCGCTTTTGTTCTTGCCAGGAGTAATCTACACAGACCTCTGTCGAAATTTGAGCCTGTGGCTGCAGCTCCTCGTGAAGCCCTTTGCCAAGCTCTTCTTTCTGGATCCCGAGGGGGGGTCCCAGACCACCCTACACTGTGCCCTGCAGGAGGGCATCGAGCCTCTCAGTGGGCGCTACTTCTCCAACTGTGTGCTGCAACAAGTGGGAGCCAAGGGACGAGATGATGCCTTGGCAAAGAAACTGTGGGAAGTGAGTGAAAGGTTAACCAATTTAGCTTAAGAGGCTGAATCCTAATCCAGAAACTCAGAGACTGTATGAATGCTCTCTGCCTCAGAAACATGAACAGGCCTCTGGTCTTTCAATGTCTTGTTGTTGGATTATTGGTCTTTGCTTCTTTAAGGGCCACTTTTTTGTGGTTTAATCGATTCATGAGGTAGAGGATTGATCAGTATGACTATTACTGACTATTATTATTCATGAGACAGATAACGATATTTGGAATTGATTTACATTTGCAGTGAAAATAAGTAGAATAACACAACTTACCGGATGTGAACTTTGAGTCTAAGCTTGCCATCACTGCCGCTTTACTGCTGGAAGCAACAAAAACAGCCCCTGAGCAGACATGCTGAAAATGGCAAGGTTGGCAGAGGATTTGGATTGTGCAGAAGTCAAAATAAATTCCCCTGACACCATTTTGCATCGGCACCATTGCTGCTTCCTGGGCTTAACACTATCCAAGACGATAGTGATTAGTTTAAAGAAATACAAACACTCCAGAACACTTGTCCCACTCTAGTTGAATGATTTTGAGGGACAGCCAGACTACTCTCCTGCACTGACAGCGCTGTGGAGATAGGCAGCAAATGTCACTAGAAACACAAACTCCAACAGAAAACTTTGTTGAAATGCCTTGATGTTTCACAGATTTAATTAAAAGGGAACTTTTCAACATTTATCCTTCAGTGTTGATTGGCTCTTATTCATTACCAGTCAGATAGTGCTGTGGGCAGGGCACAGAGGGGACACAGAGTGGTGACAGATAGAGAACGGCGGCTGTGTTAAAGCCAAAGTAGCATATTTTTAAATTAATCTATTTAGTTAGAATTGGTAAAAAAAAAAGTAATGATATGGAAAAAAGCCAAATGTCATATCCGGTACTCAGCCAGACTGATAATTGGTTGTCTGCTATTTTTAATGACAGAACACAAAGTTTTTTTTTTTCTTATTTTCCTTGCTTTGGTTAAGCCACATTTTCTTAATGCATTTGATGGAATGTTCTTCAGACTTTCCAACTAAAAAAAGCTTCAGATCGGCCATGTTTGTAAAGTCATTCCAGAGCCCTGTGGAAATGAGGTGCAGTGTCCTTCCCCCAGTCACTGGTGCTTGATTTTCATTGATGGGACCACCTATCTAATATGCTGCTATTACACCCAATATGGCAGCTCTGATCTGCTAAGGCAGGACTTCTGAAGGTGACCTCAGGTATCTGGTACCAAGGTAGCAACACGTCCTTTAAGTCCTGGAGGTTGTTAGTTGCAGGTGCTGCAGTCCTACCTGGGATTGCTGTAGGTGGACATGCACCACTGCTGCCCAGGAGCACCCCACAAGCTATGACATCTCAGAAATGTCATCTGACTGTAACTATCTGGCCCTTGTCAAAGTTGCTCATTGCTAGTTGTCCATTTCTCTCACATCAAACACACCGACTGTTGGAATGAGACATCCACTTCCTGTCTAATGCAGCCCACACCTTGATAGGAACTGAGTTCATGAGATAACCAACATTATTTACTTTATCTGAGTGGTCAGAATGATTTTGCTCATCGATGTATTTGTTGATGGTCTTATTTTGGGAAGTGAAATCCATCCTGTTGCTTGTCATGTGTGCCATGTTGTGTTCTTTTATGGGAGAAGTTTACACTGCAGTGCAGTGGTATTCATAAAAACGTAGGGCTTTAGTGGTATGTGTATTTGTGTTAACCGTTCAGTACATTACGTTGAGTTCAAGAGAAGTCTTCCTCAGTTTAGATTATTAATTCTTACACGAAGAATTACAGCCATTTAAACACTTTGTTTTCAGTTTTTCAGAATATTTTTTTATTAAATTTTGAGCACCGTACCGACAAACTGTGACTGCAAATTTGAGGTACATGTTGGACCATGAATTTACCTTCAGACCAAGTGTCTTAAATGAACTTTTCTACTTCTCTGTGGTTCGAGCTGTTCCTAATAATTGAATATTTTTAATTGTGTTGAACCTTCGTAATAAAGTTTGGCTACTCTGGAATCCATATTAGTGAGTTGCATCTAAACAGTTGTGTTTCTGTCCAGTTGAACTGTTTTCCACAGGTTTACATGTGCCTGATTTGATCGTTGCAGCTCATCTAGTAGCACTCTTTAACCCTGGTTGCTTTCATTCAGAAAAATTCAGGCATGAAAAATGTGTCACTCAAAATACCAGCTCACCTGATTGTAACCCAATCCTAACTCTGATCAGAATGACTTTGCAGAAACCTGTGAATTATTTGGGACTTGACCATTAATCACAACACTTCAAACTTTAAGTAAAGCCAAAATAAAGTGTAAATGTATTGAGACCAAAAACAAAAAGAAGAAACATGTTAATGTGGCTATAAATTATTGAGAAGCCTTTGGACTGTGAAGTGAAGAGTGTGCTATAGTTGTGTACCCTGGTGACAATAAAGTGGACCTTCTTCCAGGGGCTCATTATGGTTTTTAGATACTTCAGTTGAACAGTACATTTGACAACAGAATACTTTTGGTGAAATTATTTAGGAAAACT